TATATCAGTATGTAGTGTCTCTACTTTAAAGAGTCCTCTCCTGCTGATGTTCAGGTGTATATCAGTATGTAGTGTCTCTACTTAAAGAGTCCTCTCCTGCTGATGTTCAGGTGTATATCAGTATGTAGTGTCTCTACTTTAAAGAGTCCTCTCCTGCTGATGTTCAGGTGTATATCAGTATGTAGTGTCTCTACTTTAAAGAGTCCTCTCCTGCTGATGTTCAGGTGTATATCAGTATGTAGTGTCTCTACTTTATAGAGTCCTCTCCTGCTGATGTTCAGGTGTATATCAGTATGTAGTGTCTCTACTTTAAAGAGTCCTCTCCAGCTGATGTTCAGGTGTATATCAGTATGTAATGTCTCTACTTTAAAGAGTCCTCTCCTGATGATGTTCAGGTGTATATCAGTATGTAGTGTCTCTACTTTAAAGAGTCCTCTCCTGCTGATGTTCAGGTGTATATCAGTATGTAGTGTCTCTACTTTAAAGAGTCCTCTCCTGCTGATGTTCAGGTGTATATCAGTATGTAGTGTCTCTACTTTAAAGAGTCCTCTCCTGCTGATGTTCAGGTGTATATCAGTGTGTAGTGTCTCTACTTTAAAGAGTCCTCTCCTGCTGATGTTCAGGTGTATATCAGTATGTAGTGTCTCTACTTTAAAGAGTCCTCTCCTGCTGATGTTCAGGTGTATATCAGTGTGTAGTGTCTATACTTTAAAGAGTCCTCTCCTGCTGATGTTCAGGTGTATATCAGTATGTAGTGTCTCTACTTTAAAGAGTCCTCTCCTGCTGATGTTCAGGTGTATATCAGTATGTAGTGTCTCTACTTTAAAGAGTCCTCTCCTGCTGATGTTCAGGTGTATATCAGTGTGTAGTGTCTATACTTTAAAGAGTTCTCTCCTGCTGATGTTCAGGTGTATATCAGTGTGTAGTGTCTCTACTTTAAAGATTCCTCTCCTGCTGATGTTCAGGTGTATATCAGTATGTAGTGTCTCTACTTTAAAGAGTCCTCTCCTGCTGATGTTCATGTGTATATCAGTATGTAGTGTCTCTACTTTAAAGAGTCCTCTCCTGCTGATGTTCAGGTGTATATCAGTATGTAGTGTCTCTACTTTAAAGAGTCCTCTCCTGCTGATGTTCAGGTGTATATCAATATGTAGTGTCTCTACTTTAAAGAGTCCTCTCCTGCTGATGTTCAGGTGTATATCAGTATGTAGTGTCTCTACTTTAAAGAGTCCTCTCCTGCTGATGTTCAGGTGTATATCAGTATGTAGTGTCTCTACTTTAAAGAGTCCTCTCCTGCTGATGTTCAGGTGTATATCAGTATGTAGTGTCTCTACTTTAAAGAGTCCTCTCCTGCTGATGTTCAGGTGTATATCAGTATGTAGTGTCTCTACTTTAAAGAGTCCTCTCCTGCTGATGTTCAGGTGTATATCAGTATGTAGTGTCTCTACTTTAAAGAGTCCTCTCCTGCTGATGTTCAGGTGTATATCAGTGTGTAGTGTCTATACTTTAAAGAGTTCTCTCCTGCTGATGTTCAGGTGTATATCAATATGTAGTGTCTCTACTTTAAAGAGTCCTCTCCTGCTGATGTTCAGGTGTATATCAGTATGTAGTGTCTCTACTTTAAAGAGTCCTCTCCTGCTGATGTTCAGGTGTATATCAGTATGTAGTGTCTCTACTTTAAAGAGTCCTCTCCTGCTGATGTTCAGGTGTATATCAGTGTGTAGTGTCTATACTTTAAAGAGTTCTCTCCTGCTGATGTTCAGGTGTATATCAGTGTGTAGTGTCTCTACTTTAAAGATTCCTCTCCTGCTGATGTTCAGGTGTATATCAGTATGTAGTGTCTCTACTTTAAAGAGTCCTCTCCTGCTGATGTTCATGTGTATATCAGTATGTAGTGTCTCTACTTTAAAGAGTCCTCTCCTGCTGATGTTCAGGTGTATATCAGTATGTAGTGTCTCTACTTTAAAGAGTCCTCTCCTGCTGATGTTCAGGTGTATATCAATATGTAGTGTCTCTACTTTAAAGAGTCCTCTCCTGCTGATGTTCAGGTGTATATCAGTATGTAGTGTCTCTACTTTAAAGAGTCCTCTCCTGCTGATGTTCAGGTGTATATCAGTATGTAGTGTCTCTACTTTAAAGAGTCCTCTCCTGCTGATGTTCAGGTGTATATCAGTATGTAGTGTCTCTACTTTAAAGAGTCCTCTCCTGCTGATGTTCAGGTGTATATCAGTATGTAGTGTCTCTACTTTAAAGAGTCCTCTCCTGCTGATGTTCAGGTGTATATCAGTATGTGGTGTCTCTACTTTAAAGAGTCCTCTCCTGTTGATGATCAGGTGTATATCAGTATGTAGTGTCTCTACTTTAAAGAGTCCTCTCCTGCTGATGTTCAGGTGTATATCAGTATGTGGTGTCTCTACTTTAAAGAGTCCTCTCCTGTTGATGATCAGGTGTATATCAGTATGTAGTGTCTCTACTTTAAAGAGTCCTCTCCTGCTGATGTTCATGTGTATATCAGTATGTGGTGTCTCTACTTTAAAGAGTCCTCTCCTGTTGATGATCAGGTGTATATCAGTATGTAGTGTCTCTACTTTAAAGAGTCCTCTCCTGCTGATGTTCAGGTGTATATCAGTATGTGGTGTCTCTACTTTAAAGAGTCCTCTCCTGTTGATGATCAGGTGTATATCAGTATTTAGTGTCTCTACTTTAAAGAGTCCTCTCCTGCTGATGTTCCGGTGTATATCAGTATGTATTGTCTCTACTTTAAAGAGTCCTCTCCTGCTGATGTTCAGGTGTATATCAGTATGTAGTGTCTCTACTTTAAAGAGTCCTCTCCTGCTGATGTTCAGGTGTATATCAGTGTGTAGTGTCTCTACTTTAAAGAGTCCTCTCCTGCTGATGTTCAGGTGTATATCAGTATGTAATGTCTCTACTTTAAAGATTCCTCTCCTGCTGATGTTCATGTGTATATCAGTATGTAGTGTCTCTACTTTAAAGAGTCCTCTCCTGCTGATGTTCATGTGTATATCAGTATGTAATGTCTCTACTTTAAAGAGTCCTCTCCTGCTGATGTTCAGGTGTATATCAGTGTGTAGTGTCTCTACTTTAAAGAGTCCTCTCCTGCTGATGTTCATGTGTATATCAGTATGTAGTGTCTCTACTTTAAAGAGTCCTCTCCTGCTGATGTTCAGGTGTATATCAGTATGTAGTGTCTCTACTTTAAAGAGTCCTCTCCTGCTGATGTTCAGGTGTATATCAGTATGTAATGTCTCTACTTTAAAGATTCCTCTCCTGCTGATGTTCATGTGTATATCAGTATGTAGTGTCTCTACTTTAAAGAGTCCTCTCCTGCTGATGTTCAGGTGTATATCAGTATGTAGTGTTTCTACTTTAAAGAGTCCTCTCCTGCTGATGTTCAGGTGTATATCAGTATGTAGTGTCTCTACTTTAAAGAGTCCTCTCCTGCTGATGTTCAGGTGTATATCAGTATGTAGTGTCTCTACTTTAAAGAGTCCTCTCCTGCTGATGTTCAGGTGTATATCAGTGTGTAGTGTCTCTACTTTAAAGAGTCCTCTCCTGCTGATGTGCAGGTGTATATCAGTATGTAGTGTCTCTACTTTAAAGAGTCCTCTCCTGCTGATGTTCAGGTGTATATCAGTATGTAGTGTCTCTACTTTAAAGAGTCCTCTCCTGCTGATGTTCAGGTGTATATCAGTATGTAGTGTCTCTACTTTAAAGAGTCCTCTCCTGCTGATGTTCAGGTGTATATCAGTATGTAGTGTCTCTACTTTAAAGAGTCCTCTCCTGCTGATGTTCAGGTGTATATCAGTATGTAGTGTCTCTACTTTAAAGAGTCCTCTCCTGCTGATGTTCAGGTGTATATCAGTATGTAGTGTCTCTACTTTAAAGAGTCCTCTCCTGAGTGAATGCGTGTGGAGGTATGTAATTGCATGGAAATAAAGGAACTGTGTGATAACAATCAGATGCCGTGCTGGACACACAATAACGTCATGATAGCTTTAAAGAAGATGATTTTTGCACATATATTTAATATTTTATCAAAATTTGACACCTGAACTGTGCTTTCGAGTTTATTTTTAGACATAGTAAAAAAAAAATAGGAATTTAAATCTCCAAATAATTTTAAAACAAATATTTTCCGTTCCAAAAACGTAATCAAATTGCTATTAATTGTCCGGCAGTGGCTCAGTCACTAGGGGCTTGGACTGGGAGCTGTAGGGTCGCCGGTTCAAGTCCCCGAACAGACTTAAAGTATGGAGTGTGGACTGCTACTTGGAGAGGTCCCAGTTCACCTCCTGCCCTGCCATGGAGCCCTTGAGCAAGGCACCGGACATCCCCCTTCCTCCCTCACTCCCATTGCTCCCCGGGCGCTGTGCAATAGCTGCACAATGCTCCCCGTACTCGACTCCTGGGGCCTCATTTATAAAGGGATGTACTTAAAAGCAGCGAACACATTTCACTGTGTGTGCTGTGTGCTCTGCATGTGTGACCATTAAAGAGGGTTTTAGCCCTCCCAATATTATATTATATTTATATATATATGATAAAAAGAGAAAATGGGCCGTGTGGTTCATGGGCGTGATTGAAACACAGTGCAATGGGAATATTTCGATTATTTCTCAGCGGAAATACATCACTTCCTCTCATTGAGCAGGGTTGGTCGTTACATCATCCTCTGTGAACGAGGCGAAGCTTCCTCTCTTCACTTTGAATTGATGTGAACATGTGACCTTTCACGTGTGATTTCCTGCAGAGGTCAAAGTCTGTCTGGATGAATCTGTCTAAAGTCAAAGATTAATCTTGATTGGGCAACATTTGACCCCGAGTTACCCAAAACAATAAAATACAAAATAAACATTAAAATAATAAAATAATACAAAAATACAAAATAAATACAGATAGCAGTAATAATAATATTCATGATAATAATAATATGGTGCGTCACAGCTGAAGCCCCGCCCCTTTCTGAGTGACAGTCAGGGCTTGGTGTTTACACTCAGGAAGAGGTGCGTCACAGCTGAAGCCCCGCCCCTTCCTGAGTACAGTCACATAGGGTGAGGAGACTCAGCAGTGAAGCAGCGGAACACAAATCTCCTCTCCAAACGGTAAGAAACACATTTAATACACTCTTTGACTCACTCTACTACCGTAAACTAACCTAATACTTAACCACGAACCGTTCTAACGTCCCTAAATCGGTGTATCGTTTAGTGTTGTTGACGTGACGTTAGCTAACGGTTGCTACCTAGCTTCTAACCACCCAGGAAAAGGAGCAGATGTTGAAGCAGATTTGTTATGAGTGACCGCAGCGGCCAATTCAAAATGACTCCTCTCCATTGACCTAGATATCAGAAAACCTTTATAAGATATACTTAATTCATCCCAAATTGAGACATGTTTTTGTTGTTGCAGCAGCATGTAAAACAAAGTATTGCACGTAGTTAGCAATACAAATGGCAGATTAAACCGAAGAGTGACCATGAATATACACATATGTCGACACATAAAACACGATTGAAAGGATACATCACACCTAAGAGACCATATAGGCTACAAGTGGGATGTTTTTACATTAAATGTGCAAGAATGACATATTAGATGAAATACTAATGCAAAATGTTAAAAGTCCAGTTAATATTCGTCCCACAGAGGATACATGTACATTGTTACAGTAATGAAAGAGCCAAAGATAGCTTAGTATTAATTAAGAAGCATAACAATAAAAAGCTAAAGTACAAAAAAAAGATGGAATAATAAAAAAGTTGGAATATTTAGAAAAATAAGAGGAAAAGTTTTGGAGAATTTCAAAGTGTAAAATATATTCAATAAAAAAAAGATAATTTAGTCTCCATTCACCTCGTGACAGAAAAACTATACTGCGCATGCTCAGTGGGCCCACATCCGGGTATTTTTGCGCCGCTAAAGCAGCTTCGCAGGAATTCACTCTATCTCTTTATCATCGATCCATGGCTTAATAATGTATGGATTATAAGCATATTGAAACTCTTATTTAAACACAATCTAACTGATGTACACTCTGATGACTCCCCTGCTGTGTTCAGACGATTTAGAATATAAATTAAATTACATTTAATCCTGTAATTCGTCGGTCAAATGAAGCGGTAACGCCCACACGTCTGATCCGTTAAAACAAGCGTGATGTCGTGGGTTTACGGGATGTGACTTCTGTGTTCGAGTCTTTTTTGTTCTTTATTAAACATGTGCCGGATTTAGAATAATAAACTGTTGCTGTATAGGGTTGTGGAACTGCTCGGTATTAATGGATATAAGCATATAAGTAGTGGCACGCAAATGAGTTAAATCTGATATATTTTGAGTGGAGTTTGGTGTCTTCCGAGACTATGAAGGACACTAAGAATATTTATTTACCTACAAAGAATATCCAGGGACCTATTCTGTAGTGTTAACTGTGATATTGGGCATTTTAACCGATTTAACTGAATGTTTATCGATGTTTTATGTGTGTGTTAGTCAGTGGTAGTACATTGTACTGTACATAAGTACACATTTGAGGTACTTGTATTTGAGTATTTTAATTGTATACTACTTTATACTTGTACTCTACTATTGAGTAGAAGTACTCAGATCTTGATTAAAAGTAGAAGTACTCAGATCTTGATTAAAAGTAGAAGTACTTGAGTAAAAGTAGAAGTACTCAGATCTTGTACTTGTGTAAAAGTAGAAGTACTCAGATCTTGTACTTGAGTAAAAGTAGAAGTACCTGTGCTGGACTATGGTGATCTATTTTATATGAATGCGCCGGCCAATTACCTCACCAAGATAGATGCCGCCTATCATAGTGCACTAAGGTTTGTGACAGACTGTAAGACTTTGACTCATCATTGTACCCTGTATACAAGGGCAGGGTTGCTTTCACTTACTGTACGGCGGCTAAATCACTGGTATCTTTTTATTTATAAAGCAATGTTAGGGAAACTTCCGTCTTACATCTGTTCCCTGATCTCACAGCGTATTGTAAATGGCTACTGCCTGAGATCTAAAGCTGTGGTTGTATTACATGTGCCAACTGCTAGGACTGTATTAGGAAATACAGCTTTTAGATGCGCAGCGCCGCTAGCATGGAACAGTCTACAAAAGGAATGGAAGCTAAGCAGTTTGATTCCATTTCATGTTTTTAAAGCTAGGATAGACGCTATACAATCAGAAAATATTGGTGTCTGTAAATGCTACTAGTATACAAACTGTAGTATCATATAATGTCCTTTGTTTTCTGTCATGTTTGTATTAATGTTTGGAACTAATTGAAGCAGGTCACCATTGTAAAAGAGGTCTATGATCTCAATGGGTTTTATCTGTATAAATAAAGGTTTTGAATTGAATTGAATTGAAACACAGCATGGAGGTTAGTCTGAAACTCAACATGGAGGTTAGTCTGAAAACTCAACATGGAGGTTAGTCTGAAACTCAACATGGAGGTTAGTCTGAAACTCAACATGGAGGTAGTCTGAAACTCAACATGGAGGTTAGTCTGAAACTCAACATGGAGGTTAGTCTGAAACTCAAACATGGAGGTTAGTCTGAAACTCAACATGGAGGTTAGTCTGAAACTCAAACATGGAGGTTAGTCTGAAACACAACATGGAGGTTAGTCTGAAACTCAACATGGAGGTTAGTCTGAACTCAACATGGAGGTTAGTCTGAAACTCAACATGGAGGTTAGTCTGAACTCAACATGGAGGTAGGTCTGAAACACAATGGAGGTTAGTCTGAAACACAACATGGAGGTTAGTCTGAAACTCAACATGGAGGTTAGTCTGAAACTCAACATGGAGGTTAGTCTGAAACTCAACATGGAGGTTAGTCTGAAACTCAACATGGAGGTTAGTCTGAAACACAGCATGGAGGTTAGTCTGAAACTCAACATGGAGGTTAGTCTGAAACTCAACATGGAGGTTAGTCTGAAACACAACATGGAGGTTAGTCTGAACACAGCATGGAGGTCAGTGTGAAACTCAACATGGAGGTTAGTCTGAAACTCAACAATGGAGGTTAGTCTGAAAACTCAACATGGAGGTTAGTCTGAACTCAACATGGAGGTAGTCTGAAACTCAACATGGAGGTTAGTCTGAAACACAACATGGAGGTTAGTCTGAAACTCAACATGGAGGTTAGTGTGAAACTCAACATGGAGGTTAGTCTGAAACTCAACATGGAGGTTAGTCTGAAACACAGCATGGAGGTCAGTCTGAAACTCAACATGGAGGTTAGTCTGAAACACAGCATGGAGGTCAGTCTGAAACTCAACATGGAGGTTAGTCTGAAACACAGCATGGAGGTTAGTCTGAAACTCAACATGGAGGTTAGTCTGAAACACAACATGGAGGTTAGTCTGAAACTCAACATGGAGGTTAGTCTGAAACACAGCATGGAGGTCAGTCTGAAACTCAACATGGAGGTTAGTCTGAAACACAACATGGAGGTTAGTCTGAAACTCAACATGGAGGTTAGTCTGAAACTCAGCATGGAGGTTAGTCTGAAACTCAACATGGAGGTTAGTCTGAAACACAGCATGGAGGTCAGTCTGAAACTCAACATGGAGGTTAGTCTGAAACTCAACATGGAGGTTAGTCTGAAACACAACATGGAGGTTAGTCTGAAACTCAACATGGAGGTTAGTCTGAAACTCAACATGGAGGTTAGTCTGAAACTCAACATGGAGGTTAGTCTGAAATACAACATGGAGGTTAGTCTGAAACACAACATGGAGGTTAGTCTGAAACACAACATGGAGGTTAGTCTGAAACACAGCATGGAGGTTAGTCTGAAACACAGCATGGAGGTTGGTCTGAAACTCAACATGGAGGTTAGTCTGAAACTCAACATGGAGGTTAGTCTGAAACACAGCATGGAGGTCAGTGTGAAACGTATTCATCAGGTTCAGGTCTGAAGACAGAAAGGCTCTTCTTCAGGAGATATGATTGATTTCATAAATCAAAGTAGAAGTACTCAGATCTTGTACTTGAGTAAAAGTAGAAGTACTCAGATCTTGTGCTTGAGTAAAAGTAGAAGTACTCAGATCTTGTACTTAGTAAAAGTAGAAGTACTCAGGTCTTGTACTTGAGTAAAAGTAGAAGTACTCAGATCTTGTACTTGAGTAAAAGTAGAAGTACTCAGATATTGTACTTGAGTAAAAGTAGAAGTACTCAGATATTGTACTTGAGTAAAAGTAGAAGTACTCAGATATTGTACTTGAGTAAAAGTAGAAGTACTCAGATCTTGTTCTTGAGTAAAAGTAGAAGTACTCAGGTCTTGTACTTAGTAAAAGTAGAAATACTCAGATATTGTACTTGAGTAAAAGTAGAAGTACTCAGATATTGTACTTGAGTAAAAGTAGAAGTACTCAAAAAAACAATATATTTTTCAGTGGGCTGTGTCCGTCGAAAACTGCTAGCTACTGTCTGCTGTACGCACCTAGATTTTGCTGCCGTCACTGCTCGGCTCTTGGTACTCATCATTGTACCCTGTATACAAGGGCAGGGTTGCTTTCACTTACTGTACGGCGGCTAAATCACTGGTATCTTTTTATTTATAAAGCAATGTTAGGGAAACTTCCGTCTTACATCTGTTCCCTGATCTCACAGCGTATTGTAAGTGGCTACTGCCTGAGATCTAAAGCTGTGGTTGTATTACATGTGCCAACTGCTAGGACTGTATTAGGAAATACAGCTTTTAGATGCGCAGCGCCGCTAGCATGGAACAGTCTACAAAAGGAATGGAAGCCAAGCAGTTTGATTCCATTTCATGTTTTTAAAGCTAGGATAGACGCTATACAATCAGAACATATTGGTGTCTGTAAATGCTACTAGTATACAAACTGTAGTATCATATAATGTCCTTTGTTTTCTGTCATGTTTGTATTAATGTTTGGAACTAATTGAAGCAGGTCACCATTGTAAAAGAGGTCTATGATCTCAATGGGTTTTATCTGTATAAATAAAGGTTTTGAATTGAATTGAGAAGTACTCAGATCTTGTACTTGAGTAAAAGTACAAGTACTCAGATCTTGTTCTTGAGTAAAAGTAGAAGTACTCAAGTCTTGAACTTGAGTAAAAGTAGAAGTACT